TTCTTTAATCTTTACCAAACCTAAAACATACTCAACCACAGTTGGGTCTTAACTTTCTTCCTCTAGATAATTTTCGTATCAATTATTTCAATCATTCTCAAAGTTTTTCTGTGTACTAACTCACAGGGACTAAAAACCTGTGCTCTCGTGGTTGACAGTCCTAAGGGTGAACAAAACGCACGGCAAACATTCTTCCCAGTCCTTTCCGCTTTTCAAGCACAAAGCCTTCAGTATCCTTTTCAAGGTCGAATTAAACCTTTCAACAGAATTGCTTTGAGGATGGCATACCAAAGAATTATACACTCCTGAATTTACTAAAAATCTCAGATGTAAGTTCACTAATAAACGATCTACCCAAGTCACACTGAATCTCCTTAACGTTACCTGATCTAGAAAAGATTTGCATTAAGGCTTGAATTACACTTTTAGAGATTAAATTCTGCATAGGAATGGCATCTGGATATTTAGAAGCAACACAAATTGATGTAATTAGATACTTATTTTCATGTAAACTAGGGATCAGAGGTCCTACTGCGTCAATATGTAATCTTCTGGTATAACATTTCTGGTATAATGGGCACAATCTTCATTGGGGCTTTCTTTTTATCCCTATTGTGACCTACCCGCTGACAAATATCACACGTCCTCACAAATTCTTCAATTTCCTGGTAACAATTAGGCCAGAAATAGTGTGTCAAAACTCTATCCTTGGTTTTTGTTACCCTAAATGACCAGAGATTTCCTTGTGGCATAACTTCAAGATCCCTTTCCTAAAAACGAGAGGCAACACAGCTGAAGCTAATCTTCCTCTTTTTTAGAACCTGCCACTCTGAGTAGTCTTTTCTACTCTACCGGAGTAATTGCTGCCTTTGTGGTGATCACCCCAAAATTACCTTCAATTGTGACTTTTGCTAAAGGTAAACATTTGCATTCTGTGTCCAAAGGCTGTTTCACCCATATAGTTTTCCCCTAATAAGTCACTAGTATTAATCCAAGTACTATTAAACAGATCTATTCCAGCTCCAGTATCTCTCAGATATTCTATCTCTATCCCATTAATTACTGCGTTCTTGAAATATGGCTCAAAACACTTTCATAAACGATTCACCAGATTAGCCTTATTCTTTTCCAGTGATGGACCAGGTCGAATATGCCTGTCCTTTCCACATTGGTAACACTTTACTTTCTGCTGTTTCTCAAATGTCGCTTCATTGAAAGCCTGCTCTTTTTTAGAATCCTCCACTTTTCTATTCTCCTCCGATTTAATTCTTCGATGACCACTACTTTTGTGATTATAACTACCATTGGAATTTCCATACCGCTCTCTAACTTTCTCAAATGGTTTCTTAAACCATGCTCTCTGCTCTAACCTCCTCATATCTCTTCGCAAAGCCTTATACCTGTTGCATTTCTCTGCTGAAATAGAAGCTGTTTTAAATTCTTCCCAATTATCTAAGTAGTGCTCTCTTATTTCTAGAGGGACTTGTCGCTTAATTTGCTCAGTGAGCATAAGTTCCTTAAGACTTTCAAAATCGTGAACTTCCACCGAATCCAACCAGTTTTCTAAATAAACTCTCAATTGATACACTAAATCCACCCATAACATCCCATTCTTTCTAGAATGATCTTCAAATTTTGTTTTTAAAGCCCAAGAACTGGACTTGAATGTATGCATGAGTAATTTCTTAACATACTGACAATCATCCCCTTTATCCACCGGTTCTTTTACTTTTAAATGAGCTACATCATGAGGTAATAAAGGAATTAATTACGAGTCCCAGTTGATCTCATTAATGTTCTCCTTTGGAGCCTGTTTCTCAAATAGCATAAAGAATAATGAAATATCTATATTACTTTTTTCAAAACACGGCACTAGATCTTTCAAATTAACCTTTTTTTTCCCCTAGGTTGTTCAACTATCGAAACCGTGGAAGCTAGGCTATTAGTCTCAACTATGTTCATCAGTTTTAACTTCTCCAATTCAAAAACTCGCTCCCGTTCTCGTTTGGCTCTCTCTTGTGCACTTTCCCGTTCTGATCTCGCGTGTTAACGTTCCCGCTGTACTCTCTCTTGTTCAGCTACTCCTGCTTTTTTCTTTTTTTGCCCAAATTCTTGCCGCGTATTCTTTTGCCACTTCCTCTTTATAGTCCTTGGCATTAAGAATAGCCTGCTTAATTTCTCTTACTTTATTTGCCTGAGACACATTTGTATCAAACTCCTCTGCTAACTCCAATATCAGAGCTTTAGTAAATTTCTTCATAAACTCACCCATTATGGAAAACTAAAGCAAAATAACCTACCCCAAAATACCAAAAACACAAAAACAAGAACAGGTCTGTTTTTCCAAAACTGAGTAATACCCTAATAATTCTGAACACTAATTGCCTTACAACTCTTAATGATCTCTGATTCACCTATGCATACATACAAAACATAAATCACAAATGCTAAATAAGATGCATTTTTTTCCTGCACTATCTCAACTATACAAATATTGTCCTCTAACACCAAATTGATTTAAAAACTAAATTTTTCTAAAACACTGTTGCAATACTTCATACAATTTAAATAGTTACTAGAACAATAGGACATTTAAATTCCAATAAGGAAAGGTAACCACAAGAATAACTTTCAATAACCACAAAGAAAACTTTTGATTTCCAATAATAGAGCTATATCCAAAATCAACCTAGTCTCGAATAACTGGCATAACTTCTCCAAAATCACAAAAATGGTACTCACCAATTTGAAGACGCCTTCAATGACTGTCCTGGCATTAACTTGGATACTCCAACTCTTCCGGGAAATTTCACTTCTTTGTGGCACTAGATCGCACTTCCTTCAGTGTTCCCTTCTGACTCATGGTCACTTTCTGAAGAGGCGAACTGTCCTTGCACACAAAATTAGATCGTTCTTGTGCAGAGAAGAAAATCTCTTTGAGTACACACATAAAGTCCTTTACAACACTGCCTTTTCTGGAGCTTTCATTCGACGATCCTTTACACTTGCACAACAAGATGTACGGAAAACAACATACGATTTTAGTTGAAGTCCACAGGTGAGAAGTTCGTTCTTAAATATACTTTCAGGAATAATCTCTAAATGCTGCCACCAATTATAATATTACTGCTGTAGTGTAGTGACCAAAACTGCCACACAAACCCTGGGTTGTAATACAAGGTTGAAATGAACTTCTAACTTAATTTCTAGTAATAACATAAATTTTAATAAAATAAAAACATTAACAATTGCAAATCATGACGTTGTGGGACTTGGATACAGTCAGTCCCATAATTTCAGAAATTTGTTAACAGGAAAAATGCACTATTGCTATTAATATTATCCACGAGGAGTGATAGTTCTAGCGGGCCAATATGCTCATAGCACCAGCAGGAAAATCCTTCCTCTTCTCAGCAAAAACCGTGTTGTTTTCTCGCTACCCCCAAAAAACCCAAAATGGGATTCAGACTACTTCAAATTTGGATTTATTCCAGAACTACCAGTTCTGGAATAAATCCAAATTTGAAGTTCTGGTAGCGTGAAAATATGCAAAAATAAGCAGGTACCTTAAAATATGGTTGTTTAAGATAAGTCCCTGTCAAAGGCTTTCTATCTCATAGTACTTCAAATAGCGAAAAACAAAAAGCCATATACGATTGTAGAAAAATTATTCAAGCCTGGGAAGAGGTTTTTTTTGGGGGGGGGTGAAAGCTGCACAGAAACTGAAAGTAGTAAGTCTGCTAACACTGTTAAGCCCAGAAGTGAAGAAATGGCTGAACATGACTGGACATCGTTTAGGAGTTGTTGCAAAGGTGAAAAATGCTAGTCACCTACACTTTCTGTCTACACACATAGTGAGCATCGTGTGGTGAAAAAATGTCCCCAGAACTACACCAAGTATTATCAGATGTTATTAATATCATAAATGAAATATGACACAAACTGCTTAATTCTCAACTATCTGAAACACTTTGTGAAGAAAAGGGTTCCCAGTATATTCACCTTCTTCTTCACACTGAGGTGAGATAGCTTTCGAGGGGCAAAATACTGCCTTGACTCTTCACCCTGTGTGAAGAAATCAAATAATTTTTCAGCAGCAGTATAATCAGGAAGTTCAAGACCTCTTGTCCGATGATAAGTGGGTAGCCAAACTTGTATACTTGGCAGATGTTTTTCCTTTGTTAACAGAACTAAACATATGCAAGAACAACTTAAGCACGTGTTTACAATACGAGTAAAGTAGATGCTTTAAAAAAAAAAAAAAAATCACTGTAGCAAAGGCTGTAAAAGGAAATCTGCAAATGTTTATAAATTTTAATGAAAATATGGGAGAGAAGGATCTCAACCAGCAAGTGGTATCCATTATTCAACAGCACTTATAGTCACTGACAGAATGTTCTGGTTTTTATTACTTAAAGCAAGATCCTAGGCATGGAAATATGTGGATAATAGATCCATTTTCAACAAACACTGAAGATGGCAAATTAAGTGTGAATGAAAAAGAAAGCTGGATTGATCTATCTTGTGAGACAGTTTAAAAACTAAATTCCAGTCATCTGTATCAAGACTTCATTTTTGTCTTCTCTATAAAAAATTATTACCCATCACTGAGTGGAAAAGGATTGAAAATTTTAATTTGATTTTCAACAACATGTTTGAGTGAAAAAGCATTTTTAACTGCAACAGCAATTGAAACTCGGTACAGGTTTCGGCTTGAAGTAAATGTGGCTCTTTTTCTCGCAGTGATATCACTAGAACCAAAAATCCACAAATTGATTTCAAATAAACAGGAACAAACATCATACTAAAAATCTATAATACTTAAATAAACTTAAATTTTTAATTTTTAAAAATAATTACTCTATAACTTTGTTACCTTTAATTGCTGCATTTAACATTAATAAAATAAAAGTTTTCTGATCATTATTTGACAGTGAATTGTACCTTTGCCATTTATTTTGGTGTATGATTGTAAAATATATTTCTTTCTAAAAATTTAGGGTAAATTATAAAAAGACAGCAAACTGCTTAAAAGATGCAGCTAAAGCTAGTGATCAGTTAATTATTGATGCTGGCCAGAAAGACTTTGGGCCTAAACTCTGTGGCACCTGTGGCATGGTATTTTCTGCTGGTGAAGAAAATGATGAAACTGTCCATGCAAAATATCATGATATGTATCTTATCAATCTCAGATTTCCTGTAAGTATATTTTCTTCAAGTTTAATCTGACATTATAAGGTTTATCTTTTCAGAATATTTCATATTACTCATTCTAGATTTGTGTTTGCATTTATTATACTGTATGAAAGGTAGTAAATCTTTGTGGTACTTATGTATTATCACAACCACCATCTAAGTAGAAGCTGCCGAATTTTTAGTATGTACCAATTTATGGCAATCATTCTTCTGACAATTAGGCTACAATGACAATTCTTCAGTCAAGCAACGTTGCCATTTTCAGGTGAATTTTTTTTTTGTTGTATTCCAAATTTCAATGGTTTTTAGAGACAAATCATGATATTTTTTTCCAAACTCTATTTTAAAATGTGGGTTTGTGGAATTTGCCATCAAGGGAGAAACTACAATAAAATTTCTGCAGAAATGCAGTACGAAAAGGGAAAATGTTTATATTAAAATGGTGCATGAGAATGGATTTAATTGTGGATGACGTTTAATTTTCTTACATGCAGAAATGAGATGAGTTTAATAGATTGCTGGGGTTGTGTGTGATGCCATGTTTGTGCAATTCTCATATTTTTTTTAAAGCAAAAACTGATTGCCGTGTACTTGGAAAGAAGGATGGTACAAAAAAGTTATTGAAAGATTTTGGGAAAAAAAAAAAAAAAAAAAACGAGTATCTTATTATTTTAATGTATTATATAATACTTGTATTTTAAATTGCTAAAGTATGCTTTCTTTTCCCACGTTGATGATAAAGTTTGCTGATTTACAATAAACATTGATAGTTATTTATTGATTTTTATAAAAAAAAAGGTACTTACGGAAAATCCTACTGATGAGTCGGTACTACCAAACCGGGTATTTTGTAGTGGGTACTTAGTTGTAACGGGTACTGAAAATCGGTACATCCAAGTATCCGTTACTTCAGTACCGAAATCGGTACTTTTCGGTATTCGTTACTTCTGTACCGAAACGGGTACTTTTCGGTATTCGTTGCTTCTGTACCAAAACGGGCACTTTTCGGTATTCGTTACTTCTGTACCGAAACAGGTACTTTTCGGTATTTGTTACTTCTGTACTGAAACGGGTACTTTTCAGTATTCGTTACTTCTGTACGGAAACGGGTGCTTTTCGGTATTCGCTACTTTATAACGAAAATATGCATCTCTTCTCGGTATTTCGGTATTCGTTACTGGAGGATCGATGAGAGTTCAGCTCACTTCGGTTTTGGTACAAGGACAGTAGTATCTGGTTGTATTTGCGAAATGGTGATATGCGCTTTTGTGTCCATGAATAACCTGCTCCTCAGACACTTCCGTAGTTGACATGTTTTCTGATATTCAAAATCTTACTCCGTACAGATAAAATCAAACACGTGGTGACGTGGCAGAGTTCCTTCAGTGCGCAAAATCGTTAGGGTACTCCGGTACAGCAAACCGTTACTCCGGTTTTTCGTTACTTCGGTACTCCAAATCGTTACTTGGGTACTCGGTACTTTTCAAAGTAACGGGTATTTTGTACCGGGTACTTGTCTGTACCCGTTACTCTCGTACCGGGTACAAGAAAGTACTGAAGTTGCCAATCACTAGAAAATCCTGTTGACCACAAGAGACTGCACCAAACCAAAAAAAATCCATTTACTAAATATGAGAAAAAAAAGTCCTATTTTTATTTTTCTTTCAAATTTATTGTATTATCATTTATTTATTTTTAATTTTTCATTAAAATATTTTCATTATTTGTATTAAGAAGATATACTGTAAAAGCAACTATAAATTGGACCAACTATAAATAAATCTGAAATGCTGTCAAAAATGAAATAGTAGAACCCTCAAACCACATTCCCTTTTGAAATGACACTTGCTTCGCACGAGCTTTAACGTTGCAACACCATTGTGTCTCAGTTTTTAAATAAAACACCATTTCATGGAAGGGGTCTTTACTCAAGAATAATAACTAACACGTGTAATCAAGGTCATACCAAATCCAGCGTGTTTGAAGAAGACTTTTCCATTTTTGGCGAAAAATAGCATAGTTTGGCATCTTTTCTTTAATAGCCAAAAATGGTTGACGGGATTTTTGATAAGTACCTAAAAAAGTTGCAGAATAGTTAGCATTGCTACCTCTTGGCTGTCAAAATCTGGGAGAGGAAAAAAAAGTTTCCGGGAGAAGGAAAAAAGAGTTTTTTTCATGCACAACTGAAAAAAACTCCACCTCCTCAACCTCGTTTAAAAGTATATTTTGAGCTGCAGGAACAAGCACACTCTCGCAAATACTTTTGTTCATACATTTTGTTCTACCATAAGGAATCGTTTTTGCCAAAGAAGAATCTGGAAATAGAGAGCTATACAATTTGTGCAATCCTGGGCTATTAAAAGTGTGATGGTGCTTAATCCTGTGATAGACTGAAGTAATTTCAATTGCTGATATGTTGTCCTGTTCCTCTGAAGATTTCTTCATGAAAAAGTTTGAAACCACTTGCGATGCATCTCTATTCAATATTAATGACTGTTGTTTCTTGCTTTGGAATTGTACATTTAAAGCTGTAACATCCTCGTACTTAATATTAACCATTTTCCGACATACTTTACATTCTCCGTTAAAGTTGTCTCTCTTCATAAGCTAATCAAATTGAGTTAACCACTTGTCTTGAAACGATGTTGAATATTTTGTCTCTTTTTATGGCACTTGTTCACTTGCAGAATCTGAATCGTTTTTTTTTTTTTTTCCCACTAGCCATTATTATGAAAGCATTTAAATAATTTAAAAATACGCGCTTGTTTGTTGATAGCTAGCTAACTGCAGACTAAATGAAAGAATAGATTGAAAATGAGAGGGTGAGGGGAGATGAGGGCGCGTGCGCGTGATACGCCAGCATGAAACCACTACTCATCCTGCAAGGCACTTACTCACCGTTTACCTTAGATCGCTGCTACAAAGAATATGTATTGAGATAGACGTTCTTTGGCTGCTGTGCGCGGTCATGTGATTTTCGATGCTCTCAACCATTTCATCATGCATATTGTGACGTCGTGGCACGCAATAAACTGGAAGTTGATCTGTCAGCACTATCCTTATCTTCAGGGCAGATGTTTTTATTTTATTCGGCTTATAATTCCTTAATAAATGTAAGGAATTATAAGCCGAATAAAATCCTTACTAAATGTAGTATTTTATCTTGATGTACTCCGTCTGATATGATTTAAATCAAATTCCTCATCATTATAAATATCGCGAATACACATCAAATAGTTTTCTGGTTGCAATTTTCTAATTTTGACTATGTGTATTGTATGCTTTACACATGCGCGTGTTGAAAGAAATGTTTAATAAAGTAAACAAATAAATATTAAGGTTTTTTTGTTAATTTTTATACCCTTTAGATCATAATTGCTGTTTATTTCATAAATTAAGGTTTCAGATTTTTAATTTTATTATTTCTGCATGCTATAATATCTTTTTATTTAATAAATAATTATAATTATTGTTGAAGTGGCAATGCCATATTTGTATTACATAACCATTGCTCAGCAACGTGTGAAATTGTTTTAAAAATTAGAATTCTGAAGTTTTTACCAGCTAGTAGTAGTATGAAAGTTTTTCCACTAAAGAATTTCTTCAAATTATCTATCTCTGTGAACTAGAAATAAAATTTATGTTCTGATAAGAAGATTGCCTGTTTTGTCAATTACTGCAAAATACATTACAATGCCATCCTGAAATCCCGACGAGTCTGGATTAAAGACTTTTGACTGTATTTATATATATATACACACACATATATAGGGTCCTGTTTAGTTTTACTAACAGCTGTTTTATATTTGTAAGCATTTCCTGAATTCTCTTATTTCTCCTCACATTTCCTCACCAGACTTCAAATTACAAATTAAGAAAGTGAATGAGAGTATTTAAAATGTTGAAACGAAACAGTTAGACAGAGCATAAGTTTTTTAGTGAAGCACATGTTTGCTCCAGCTAATCTTAGTTGCAGCTACGTATTCGAGCTATTTAGTTAGTATATTGCCGGTGTAGGTTTATGAGTCAATCTGTTAGATTTAATTGAATTTGTAGTCAAGCACTACACCTCTACCTTTTAAATTTATTGTTCTTGTTTAAGTTCTTACTGCACAGGGGCACATCAGTGTTTTGTGTAAGCATGTAAGTCTGTACCTTCTGTTACACAGTTTGTGATAAGTAAAGAGTCTTTTAATGCCCTTTATTGTGTTAATCTTTATGCCTATGTGAGAAGTTGCCAGGTGCAAATTTTAAGTAGATCTAGTTACCATTTCATGCATGCAAAACATACTAGATATCTCACACACATACATAGAAAAGGTTGCCAGAATAATATTATCTAACAACAAAGATAAGGTTACTAGAACAAAATCATTGTCTAACAACAAGATTACCAAATTTGGTATGTATCTGATACCTCACTTTAGCTGAAATTTGTTCTAAAATTATTGTTCAGCAGCTTTTTAACCCTTTGACAAGCTGTGGTCGCGCCCTGAAACCACCAATTTTTGAATTTTTTTCTCCTCTTCTTTCTGAAATTTTTGAGTGAAAATCAATTGATTACTGATTTACCTCTAAATAACACAAAATGACTGCAGACTGCAGAATCATACATGTTTTAGGTCTTAGTACTTCAAATCGGATGCCTATTAAAATTCATTTTCAATGAGACAGAATAACTTCCTTTTATTAATACAAACAACTTTAAATTTCAAAAGTTATTCATCGCGCATCATGATTTCTATCATAAAGCAATAATTAAACTGCATATATAAAAAAACCCTCTATATGTATGGCATTTGCTTTGTGGTTTCAGGGCACGACCACTGCCCCACTAGAGCATTGTGTCACAATGCTCTAGAGGGTCTGTGGTTGCGCCTCACAATGCTCTAGAGGGTCTGTGGTCGCGCCTTGAAACCACTGCTCTTCACAATGGTGTTTGCTTGCTTCTCAAATAGGAATGTTTATTTTTACCTGGATATAGATAAGGGGCTTTGAAATCACAGAGTTATTTTATTACTAAACAATACATGCACCTGCTCAGTAAAAAGGTTCTTCTTTTCTAGAGACTTTTCTCTGACCTCAACACCCTTGCTCCCCAAGCTAGTATTGTGATTTTATAAATTATTTCCTGTGGTTTACATTTAAGGTAAAATATACTTTGCTATAATTAAAAATAGAAATCACGTAAAGCTTTATTTAAATTAAAAATATTTCCTGAATATTTTGGGACGAAGTACAAATAAAATAAGTAGGAATGGGAAACAAATGATCCGTACCAAAGCCAAAAAGACAGAACCCCACCCCCGCATTAACATCCAAAACCACAAATTTCATGTGCTAGATGAAAAGAAACTAAATAACGCTGGACATATATATACCAGTTAAATTTAGATCTAGGCAGTGTACATTTTGTAGCACAAGGAAGAAACTTCATAGAAGATACATGTGCGAAACGTGCAGTGTGGGTCTATGCATGTACCAAAAAGACAAAACATGCTTTGAACAAAAAAAAAAATTGTTCTTTGAAATTTAAAAAAAAAAAAAAAAAAAAAACCCTTTTTTTTTTATCCTTATTTTACTGAGTTTTTTAATCCATTTACCCAAACATTCTTATTATGTAGGTACTTATATTTTCACTGCTATAGAAAAATTACAGAAATGTTTATTTTTTTAATTTTTTCTGACAATTTACTTCGTAAAATAATGTAAAATATGTATATATAATGCAATTCTTACATACATTTTTAAAACTTCATAAATTTCGTCATTTATTGGAAATGCACATGGAGAAAGGCAAGTTTTTCCCCCTACTACCTCAGTAAGTTTCAAAATCCTAGATGTGCGGTGGTTGCACAGTGCGACCACCACCCACAGAACAATGGGCAAGAGTAGATTTTTTTAAATTCATATATTTTTGTCTCCAGGATCATAATATTAAACTTCTAGAGTTTTTAGTTAAAAAAATTATAAAAATAATATCGCATGTGTCAAAGGGTTAAAGCAAAATATGGAAATCGAAGGAAAAAATGCATTATTAAGAAACAGTCTTTTTTTAGTACATTTTACAAATACATTTTATTTTTCTGTTTTGTTTGTAATGAACCATAAGGAACTATAGAGTTTGGTGCCATGAAAAAGAAAGCATTGCATGTCTTCAAGAATATGGCATAATAAAAAAAATTGCATTCTGTGAAGTTGTACTTGGGGAGGGGGGAAACCGACAATTTTAGGCAAAGGCAATGGGAAAAATTACAAACAATGTTAGAATATAGGTCAGAACCTGGTTTGAAGATAGCCGTATCTCATTTACAACAGCTGTGTGCTTTATTTATTATTAAACAAAGGCATATATACCAATAAAATTCTAGGAAGAACTGGAATTATCTCCAAACAAATTATTGATTAGTATGATTACCTCTGAGAAATGTGCATGTCTTCTATGAGAAAAGATTAAAAAATGGACATAAGATAAATAAAAGTTTATCTTCAGAGTTATCAGTGACTTTATAAATGCTGTCCAAAGTCCACAACTAGTTTGCAATTTTTCAGTGGAGATGCAGGTTACCAGAAAGTACTGGCTTTTTCTCTCCTTCCGAAAAATTCAGACTGATGCTGTGCTCAAGTTGAGAGATTTCTGTGTGGCTGGATCTGTGTTCGAATCCCAGAACCATGACTATCTTTGAGGCATGGAGAATATCTGTCAAGCCAAAAATCTTTTCAAGAGATTGGAGGTTGTATCTAAGTGGTGTATGAGACTTTTGAATTCCGTTCGTCAGGGGACTTTCAATGAAAACTGTAATGAAGTTGAAGCAGATAGCTTTTATATGTTTTGCTTAAATCAAATAGTCCAATCAAAGAAATTGCCTTGAATGTATGATTTGAGAAGTTCATCATTTGTTTTGTTGTCAAATAAATTTATTGGAATTAATAAAACTTCAGCCATCAAATTCTGTAATCTTAACTGCTATGTTTCATTATTTATTTAAAAATTTTTCATCTTGTAATTTAAGAAAGAAGTGCATTATTTCAAATAAGAATATCTTTCAACTGCAATGACAAAAGGTGGGGATAAAAATAAGAATGCGTGACAACTCATGTTAACAAGTCCAATGTAATACAATGGCAGAAAGTAGAAAGAGGCTTTTCTTCCTGAAATACTAGGGGATTTAAATGTAATTGTGACTGTTGCTGCTACAAACCATTACTCTTGTAGAGAGCTGTGTGTCCTTGAATGAGTGCAGCTACTATCCCCTGTTTACCTTTTGTGCGAATTAGAACTTGCTCAGTCATTTGTTGCAGTTGTGAGAGTAATTAGTGAAGAATAGCTGCCTCAGAATGTGGACCAGTGCACTGAAATCAAATTTCTCATTCAAGAAAATATCAGTCATCTGAATTTGGAGAGACTCCAGACACTGTATGGGGAAGCGTGTCTGTATAGGACCCATGCATTTGAGTAATATAAGTACTTCATCAAGGGACTCGAGTATGTAGAGGAACATTCATTACTCTAACAAACACCGATCATGTGAATGTGATTATTCATAAAAATAGAGATATCACTATCAAAGAAACTTGCATAGGTGTTTTTAATCAGTATTGGTGGTGTATATGATGGAAAGGTGTGTGCCCAATGGCATGGTGATAGACAAGAACAAAGTAATGTACATGCAAACTTCCATTTCTCTCCTGTAGCAGTTTGAAGATGAAAAGAGTACATTTTGGAAGTCTACAGTGAACATCAATGAAACATAGCTTGCTATTTAAATCCTAAATGGTTTAAATCCCACCTGAAAGGCATACAATTTGTTGATAACTATGTCATCACTGTCAGTTTTCAGGAGTGGATTTGCAGCTAACTGAAGACTTCTATGGAAAGGCTTTCAGAAAGTTGGTAAAGGTATCTGATAGAGAATATGTTGAAGGGTGACATGTTCAACTCTTACATTTGCAATAAAGGTTTTAGTAAAAAAAATCAGCCCCGATCATATTTGAATTGCCTTGTACTTTCATCTGGTCTGTTAAATCACATATTACTAAAAATTGTACTGTGGATGAAGTGTCTCGTATGCAAATGTAGGAAAATAACACTTCTCTGACACCAATAGAATCAATATTTTATTCCTTACAACGTTATATATATATACTTATTCAGAATATTTATTTACATTTTACATGCACATTAAATCGCATGATAGAATACCAACCTTTGTTTTTCGCGGAAATAAGAAAAAGTATTGCCATTCCGTTTTAACTAAACTAAATTGGAAACTTTTTTTTTTTTTTTTTTTTTTTACAAATGGCTGGCACTTGCCTGTAACAGCATTGACCACTTCTAAGGCCAAAAAGGATAGCCATTTTATGTGGAGGCACCTAATAGGCGGCCACTGTTACCTCCTATGAGAGAACAGACAGTTTTACATTCATGCCTTCTCCTGAACTCGAACACGGGCCCTTTGGTATCGCAGTCAGGCTTCCCTAACCACTATACCATTTGGGCAGCCTAAATTAGAAACTTGACGGAACTAAAGCGATGCTACAGTGGAACTTCAAAACTTTGAAACAAGTTAGCAAGGGGCTTGACACAGAATAATAACTTAAACTGCATAGCCAGAAACTAATATTTAAATTATAGATTATGGTTTCTTTTTATGTAACATGTATATTAATAATAATTATGTAAAAAAGCTTCACTGTATGGATCAGTTTTTAAAATTTTAATTTTGGTGTATATATGAATACATTTCTGAAATACTTAATGCATTTTTAAAATTAACCTTCCAATTTAGGGCTGGAAGAACGAACATGTGGTAGGAGAATATACAGACGGCCGCATTATTATGGTTACAAAAGAAAGTAAAAACTTCATGCTAAAAAAAGTGAAAGAAATTTTAGTTATTGCTAATAGGTATGTTTTAATATTATGTATATACATATAAGTAATTTGATAAAGTAAATATAAAATTTGCATTATTTGAATATGTATGTTTTTTGAAATAAATATTAGTTAAAAAGGTACTATTTCATTTCGAGGGGGGGCATTGGCGATGGTTAAATTTTTTTTACTAAATTAAAAGCTAAATGCAAAATATGGCAAACTCTGAAACACAGATCCTAATCTTGAATTATTAATTTATTGAGGAGGCATAAAATTTCTAATATCTTCCAACATTGAAGAAAAACATCAAAGAAAAATAGTTTTTTTATGCATTCGTGGCCACAAGTATGATTCGAGGTGTTGTCAAGCTGTGCGTCGCTGCCGTTTGTTCTGCTAGTTTGAGCTTTTCCACAGATGCTCTACCATTTGGGTAAGACATCCACTTTCTTGATCAACAAAGTGAAATTTATGGTTTACGGTGAACTCTTCGAATCCAACATCTCGCAGTTTATGTGATTTATATGCCTTCTAAGAATCTATATAAATATTTATTCCTTCTACAACATTTTCCTTAATGACAGTCGATAAAGTTTTCACCTGATTGATCAGGAACTGCAACTAAAAAGTACTCATTGGATTCTCAATCTGCTGAAATCCCATTGTTGAGAAAGAATCCATCCAACGTTGTGGTTTCTCCTAGTGAAAAGTCTTTTGTCTGTTTTGACAACCTTATTGCTTCTGCCAATTTTCACTGTTGGCTGGGCTATTAAAGCTGCCATGCAAAATTCTGGCATGTAACTGTTCCAATCAACAGTTGTATATTAAGTTGTAATTCGCAAAATTCAATTGATATTATCATCTGGCACCATGAATATATGACTGTCATGACTGCGAGGAAAGGGAATCTTCAACCGATTTTCCTTTTGCAATCCTTTTCTTTCATTGCATCTATCTTTTCGTGTAATGCTATTTCATGGTATTTTGTTAAAAACTCAGTTTCGTGGCATTATCTTTCAACCACAACTGTTTATTTATGATGATATCTGATGTTTGAAAAAAATCAGTCGCAGACACTTTTCATCCATGGGCAATTCCCAATTGTGAATTCCCGGAAAATGTGTGTGGGGAGAAATCCTTTAAACAAATATTTATTTCTTGCAGAAAATTCACAGGGAAAAAAGAAACTGAAATTGCGAATTGTGCTCATGAATTGTGTAAAATCAAAATCGTGAATAGTGTTAGGTTTACTACAATTCATCAAGCAGTACTGGCATCAATGAGCATTGGAGATAAGGCAGGAAAATGCAATGGCACACCTCCTCTTTAATTTAGCTCTAGAGAAAGTTATGAGAGATGCTGGTGGCTTATGCTGATGATGTAGATATAATTACCAGATCTGTAGCTGTGCTGGGAGAGACCTTTTTGACACTAGAGAATTCAGCCAGGAAAATGAAGCTCAGAATAAATGTGGAAAAAACTAAATATATGTAGGTAAGTGTCTTTCAGAAGTCAAATGGATCCATGCATGGAAATTACTGCTTTTGCGAGTTCTAGAATCTTTTTCACTATACAACTTTCGCTAGGAAGGAAATTCCCCAAAGCTTTGCAGAGCTGCAAGTATTGCCGGACAGGTGAAGATGTATTTTGGAGCAAGCTCCATTTTGGGCAGTTTCTACAAGTTCTATATGATCTGGTACCATCTTCATTAATTTCCATTCCTCTAAAATGTCGAGTTCTCAGTCTAGTAATGATCTTTGTGATTTCTCTATTTGCATCAATCTTACATATCTGATGGTCTTTCTTAATAGATTTCTCTTTGAGTCGATATCTGGCAACAGCATTAGCATCTTCAAGAGTGATGGGGATTGAGTTATTGAGATTTCTTGTCATTTTAGCCAGTTCATCGGCTGCCTCGTTTCCGTTGATTCCAACTGCAGGTATCCATTACTTAATGTGTGTCTCTTCCATCTGGTTGATTGCTTCTAGGTGTTGTTTTACATCCTGGGTGAGTTTTGAATGTCCTTGCAGTATTGCCTCTAGGGTAGCCTTAGGGTCATAGTAAATTACAAGTCCACTGGCTTTATCATTATCATTTAAGTCAATGTATATTCTCAGGGAATTTTCCTCTTGGATTGCTCTTAATTCACATATGAAGTTGGAAGCAATACTGCCTGCTACATGGCTTTGGAGCATAGTTGCCCAATTTGGTAGAGTGATGTGAATCACTGTGGGATAGTCTCTTCTGAGGAACCATCTGCATAAATTTTAACCAAATCAGCTCCCAAAAAAGACTCAATTGCCTGAGTACCTTTTACCTTGATAACAGCTTCAGTTTCCTTTTTTGTACAGTGTTCTACCAGACTGAAATTTATTTTGGTGTTAATGGGGAGTAAGAGGGTAGGTTAGGCTCTTGAAGGACAATGTAGGTATCATGCTTGAGAGCAATATTTATTATGGTATTACTAAATATATGTACTGTGGTAAAAAGAAAAATCCCCCTAAAATATTTGAGACTGTCCCATTTAAATTTGAATCTGGGATTTTCACCTATTTAGGCTTCAAAATTAACTTTCAAAATGATACGAATCCTGAAATCAGGAAAAGGATTATTGTTGGAAATTGTTGCTTCTTTGGTTTAAAACCTCTTCTGAAATCCCATCTAATAAAGAGAGAAAAATTCTATATAATAAAATATTTATAAAATCAGTCAACCTATGCTTTAGAGATAGGGACTCTAATTAGAAAGAGCTTTGGTGATCTTTGAAATGAAGATTCTAAAAACTATTTTCAGTGCTATTTTAGAAAATAATATATGATGTAAACGGCATAACTTCAAACTCTACAAAATTTATGAAGATGAGGATATTGTTACGAAATGGACAAGCGCAGTAAGATGGCTTCCCCGCAAAACAGTTTTAGGGTTGCCATAAAATGGCAAAGCAGGGCAGGGTTGCCATATTTGGCAAGAAAATTGGCGATATTGGAGAGAAAATTGGTGACGATTGGAGAACCTTCTGGAACGAATTCTTACCGGCTTAACCCAGAATGTTCCCGAACACAAGCCGAAAGCTTTATAAACCCTGCTGGTCCGCAGTCAGAGAGTGTGCCTCGTCTAGCGAGCCGTGCGGAGTCGATCGAGTTGACAGCCGGCGACGAGTGCCGAGTGGGTGGTCGAGTGCATCGTCGAGAGAGCGTGTTGAGCTCCGAGAACGACTGAACCGAAGAGTCGGGAGCTGTGTTTGTGTGTCGTCGAGTGCATCGCGAGGTGTAGTGTGGAGAGTCTCGAGAGTTTGTGGATTTCCGTGAACGACCAAGCAGAGTCGGGTGCTTTGCAGGAAGTTGTCTCCACCGTTATTGCCTGACAGTGTGAAGGCTGTGTCGCTGATTGTTCCAGCGTGTTTATAGTAGATCTTCGACAACTGTAAAAAGTTACTTTGGAGCGGTTCTGATTAAATATTGACTAGTGTGTTTCGATACTTCATCAAGTGTCGTCGTTATTCACTCCAAATCTACGAACCCCATACGAACGTGGAGGAAGAAAATAATGCAACAACTGATGTCAGAAGAAAAGAAAAACGTAAAAATATTATTAAACCCATAAAATTAAGTAGAATGGGATTGGCAGGTCACCTCCTGAGAATGAATGACAATGGTCCTTAAGGTCTTTTATGCAACTTTTGTTTGTGGAAGATCAAGAGGAAGACCCGAGAAAAGATGGAGGGACTACCTGGTTAAGGATTTTTCCATTCTAACAATTAAGAATTGGAGGTCAATTACTGGAACGTGGGTGGAATAGGAAAGGCTCCTGAAGTCAGAGCCCACAAGGGCCTGTCTTGCCAGTGCTGATGATGACTATGGTTGACATAATTATGGTTTTTACATTAATTAGCCCCGGAATACATTCTAGATTTTTTACTGATGAAAGAAATAAGTTATTAAAAAGATGAAATGTACAAATTTTCTCTTCAAGCAAGATTTGTATAGCATATACAAATTTATGCATTTTATGATCTGAAAGACCGTTTTTTAATGGCCTGGTAGTTTATTATTAGCTATCGATTACTGGATGTATAAGATTCTAAGTGTTGATAATATAGTGGATCATTTCAATAGCACTGAAGAGTTATTGGTATAATTGTAAAGAAGGTAAGCTATTTTCAAAGCTAGAATACTGTCTAAAAAATTCTATTATTTTTTTTCACCTATAGGAAAGTCACAAATTAAGTGATAATATTTCATAATCATCAATAGGGCTGAGTAATTGTTTTATTTACAATAACTTAGAATTAGTATTTGTTTAGGTGCAGAGATTGGGATATTACTGAAGTGAATGGCATAAAATCTATGATGGCATAGCAGCATCAAATTTGTTTCCTCATCTTTTACATTAGAAGTACCAACTAATAATTTGTTTAAAAGACTAAAACAATTTAAACCCCTTCTAAAACATGTACATTAAAAGCATGTCCTGTGTTTTAGTGGGAGTGTGGCTACTTCTTGGATATGTTTTGTAGTATTATGCCCCAATTAGTACTGTGGCATGAAATGGCAGCAACTTGAGAACTGGTTTGGAAGAGGCAAGAAAGAGGAGTGGGAGCTCATCAAGAAAATGAAGGAGGAGAGAAGGGAAGTGTGATGTGGGTGGTAATGGAGATTTGTTCTGAGGAGTAAATAAATGAGATTACATATAAAATGACTGTTTTATTTACGAATTTGCGACTGAGCTAGCTTGTGTCAAGAATCTGTGGCTCCGAGAAATAAACTTTTGAGTGTATATGAGAGAATAATCAAATTGCTATTCAAGCTATTCAGTGTGTAATTTCAGACTCTTGATATGATTAATGAACAAGTCATTGTCAAGTCAAGTTAATGACCTTGTCAGCCACAGAAATAGATTATCATATATGCTTCCAAGGTGCATAGTGTTATTAGTCTAGCTAGTTCATGTTGATAAAACTCAATTATAATTACACATATTGCATTACAAATAATAATTTAAGAATATGCATTAAAATGAAAATAATTTAAACCTTGGATTAAAGTGTAAGTTGCCAAGACCAGTTCATGTCTATTTATTTGTTTGTAATTCTTCTATTTCCATTACACTCTCAAACAATAGGCATCTGTGTGACTTTGAATTCAAAATGATGTTTGTACATCACTCGATTACATTTTTTTCCTTCGGTCTGTAAAAAATTTCAGTTCACGAAACCTTCCATGTAATGAAAATTACAAACAATGTATATATATAGCTGTCCAAACCTTCAAAACTAATCCTGATTAAACTATTAAATGCAGAAAAAATTTAACATTTCTTCTGCTTAACTTAATTACAAATTTGATTAAAATGTAGTAATTGTAAAATTGTAAACTACAGATTCTGTAGAAAACATCCTTAGGCATATTTAATGGAAAATATTTGCATAGTGCACCTATGCAACAGGTGGTGATAATTTAAAGAAAAGCAGCATAATATTGTAAAAATAATTCCAGTTTGCTTATTAGTCACAGTGCACTAAGAGTGAAATATTTTAAAACTCCTACTTCAGTAAGAAGTGCCTTCATTTTTGGCGTAGCTAAATTCATCGACATGAGATCTTAATACAATTCTTAGGTTGGGTATATGGAAATTTTGTAATTTGTAGAAAGGCACTTGTGAAATATTAAATGCTCTAATTAGTAAACAAATGAACAGAGCTTGAATTAATTGAAATTCATTAAAAATTAAACATTTTCACATTGCTAATTAAGCAGCACCTAATATGTTTATGCATTTGTATTTGAACTTTGTTCACCAAATTTCTGATTTGCATCTCAGCTTAAAATTAGTATATGATGCAGTGAAAATTTTTTTTGTACTTTGTTCTTAGCTCAAGTTTTGCGCTAAGAATAATTTTTCTGTTGGTATTAGAGAGCCCTGGCTTCTTGTAACAATCTTTTGAACATTAATTAATTGTTTGGTATTCTAAATATGGTTAAAAATGTTTTGTGTTATTTAAATTATCTTTCTCATGCATTTGAATGGTGTAAATTATAAATTTAAGTAAAATATTTATATTCATCTTGCTTCAGATACTTTATTAATTTTGTTAATATATTTATTGTTGTTGATTCATTTTAGGGACTTAGGTTTTCCTTCTGATAGTTTCCCAGTAAGGCCAAATGCAACTTTTTTGTTGTTTATTTCAAATGATAAAAGAGTTGCTGGATGTGTGGTTGGTGAAACTATTACTTCAGTAAGTATGAGTAAAATAATTGGTGCTTTTAGTCTTTTTAGTTACTTTAGCATATATTTCCAAAATGTAGGTTGTTTATTGTATACTTCTGGTAAAATAAAGAAAGTGATATAAAAAAGAAGAATGAGAAGTTTAAAAATGTATATTTTGTAAGTATAGAAAAATGGCAAATCATACTGGTTAGAATAGGGTTTCTCAACCAGGTGGGGGGGGATATCATAGTTTCAAGAAGAGTGCAATCGCACTTTTAATTTTTAGCTATTTAGTTTTAGTTTGTGAATATAAAAAACTAGTTTTATTCAAGTTTTGGTATTAATCAGTATTTTCTATACTTATTTTTATTTAATTTATAAAACATGTTAAAAAATGATATAAATAAGTGTATATGCATTTTTCAAGTTTGTGCAAAGGGAAGGATGACTTCTAGCAATGGTGAAAGGGATGCATGGGGTAAAACAGGTTGAGATTCACTGTAAAAAAATAAAGAATGAAGAAGTAGCATTAAATTCAGGATAGGGCTTCTTCCACAACAATGGAAAATTAGAAGAAAAAGTAGAGATCTGATGAAATAAACAATTATACATTTGGTAGTGCTGCTAAAGGGGATAAATTTACTAGTAACAATTTAGCATGTTTGAAAATAAATGTTTTATAATTTCTGCAATGAAACGCAAAGTGATTAAATAACTTTATATTCACTGGTAAGTATAACTTTCATTCAAATATAACTTTCATTCACTGTTTTAAATTCAATAACCCTATCTCTAATTCACTTACTAACAATAAAACCAGTACTCAATTGATGTGTCTTTAAATAGCAGCTGTAATAGGCACTGTAGCTTCATTTATCAGTCACTACTTGGCCAATTCATCTCATTTCCTGGATGGCCAGGATATCCAGCCTGTATTGGATGAAAATTTCGATAAGCTTTTTCAGTGCTCCACTTCCATATAAAGTTTGTATATTCCATGTTCCAAATTCTGGATCCAGTTTCATGCTAGGTCGTTGGGAATATATCAGTCTGGAAAATTCTTCTTGAGGTTTCTTAATCGGGAGAGTTTTTATGAGGCAGGGTAATTAGCCCTATGCCCAATCTCCAACCTGGAGGACCTGTCAGTCAACTGATATAATCCTGAGGGGCAGAATGCCCGGTTATACCCCCCGGATGCTGGGTACATATTTTATTCACTTCTTATGACATGCATGAGCATACTTTGGGACTACTCTTTCCCACTCGGTCACCACACGAGTAATATAATAAATTAGATTTTTTAATTTTTATGAAATTGATTTTCTTCAATTTAAAAATGCCAAAAAGATTATTGAGTCTCTCTAACTGACGCAAAATGGGTCCAGGGGTTGTGAAAATAAAGTACTTTTGTGGACAATATGTATATTTATTTCTTAAAGGAATTTAAAGATGAATTAATAAAAAAAAAAAAAAAAAAAAAAAAATGAAAATTGCATTCACAATAAAGTTTTTATTTGAACAATATTGAATTCATTTCCACAAGACTGGAATTTAAAACATGATTATTTTATAAATTCAGTTTTTAATCATTCCAGGTTTTGTGTTTAAATATTAGCATAGTTTATTAAAGGTATGAACTCAGGGAATCAGATAATGTAATTTTATGCTTTATGTAAAGCAAATAGAGGCAATGGACAGGAGAGATGGCATTAAAGTCAAAATTTTACCTACTTTGTTTTGACTGAAGTTTCTGTTATTGAGTTTGGGGAGAATGGACAACAAATGGCCTTTCTATGAGAGAATAATTTTAGAGCCCAGCTTTGACTTGATCTTGCAAAAGATCTTACAAAAGATTGATTCTGGAGTCTGGCATTTGCCAAGATGGATTCATGCTTGGCCAAATACAAAATTGACTTACATGCCACCTCACATAGCTGGGTTGTCTTGTTTTCATTAGCTTTCATTGGACACTATTGCACCAATGTTTTCATAATATCAAAATATGGAGAAAAGCTGTGTTTAGTCTAATTTTTATTGGCTTTCTACAGAAAATTACTATCTGTTGTTTTTGATAATGCCTAAGTATAAAAACCAGCTGCACACAGTCTCGTTTTCAATATTCTTCTAAATAATATTTTAATGACAGAAATGTTAAAAGTAATATTCTTAATGCTTCATTATTTCTGTTTCATATTACCTTTCACTATTGCCTCCTTCAATGATTCTCGCTGTTAATCTGTTGTTATTCTTTTTTGTATTTTCCATAACATAATTTATATGCTTATGGTTTAATTGATAAAAGATTATTTTCATTTTATATACTTTACACTCTTTCCACATTTGAAATAATTTAAAACTAAACAGTTACAATTAGCTGTTAATTTAAAAATGAACCTCTCAGCAATTTAAAAAATAAAGCAATACATTTAAAATCAGCTGTTAAAAGTAACAGAGTCAGATGGTGAAAACATATTAACTATTATATTATATCCTAATTTACTGCCACAGGTTAATTTATATGCTTATTTAACTAAGAGCAGACTTTATCCAAGATATAATTAATTGCATTTATTTCACTGGATTTCTTGTGTATGAGGTTTTTAAAAAATGTTTCTTTTATGTGGCAATATTTTCTGTTTTTCTATGAAAACGATAAACTTAAAAATTGCAGATAATGCATCTGGAATTATTTTCACATGCAGTAAATATTAAATAAACAAAAGCATTCTTTAAAACTATTGAAACACATGTTAGAAATATGGAATAAATATCAAACATATATATGTAATATTTTAGCAGTCGGGCACATAAATGAAGCTTGGCAATCTGATCACATCATAATTCTGGACAATGTTGTGGCTAAGTGTAAGGCGGCATCCATTGATGACACAGAAGAATTTAAATTTCTAGCTCCATATCTGTATTCAATTCAAACGGCAAATCATTATTCTTTACTAAGATAAGATTAACTTTAAGGTTATTACGTCATATTATTTGAACAAAGGGAGGCAGATGAGAAGAGCAGCAGCGTAGATCTGAACAGCAAAAGGAGGAAGCAGTCTCTCTCTCTCTCTAACTGACGCAAAATGGTGCAAATTCTCTATTTATAGGAATGGTTACGTAATAGGCCTTGAATGATCTCAGAAGTACTGGTCTAGGGAAAAGATCCTGGAATTGGTTGCTTGTTCGCATAGAGCAAAGCCATCCTGCTTTTTATATTTTGCATCTATATATATATATATGTTTGTGTGTATCTACATAAGATTGTTATATCTCATGTATAAGAGCAATTAGAGTTGTGTTTGTATATGTAAGTTTTCAAACTACTATTTATTTTAACCTTTCCTTATCTTTTTCTCATTTAATGGAAACCTGCCATTTTTTTCCCTCCAAAAAGGAATGTTAAAGTTTTCATGACTCGTTTAACAGACATTTAATCATTTGTAATTCCAATTTTTAAATATTTCAGGCATGCCGCGTTATTCTGGATACAAGAAAAAATTCTATAACTTGTGAGAGTAAAGAAAAAGAACTAAACAATGTTTGGAAGATAGGTAACTGGTGCTGCAGTTCTGAGGCAGTTCCTGCTATTTGTGGAGTTAATCGCATTTGGGTTGCTAAAGAATATAGGCGCCGCAAAATAGCATCCCGTTTGATGGATTGTTTGAGGTAAATAATACATTATAAATTAATTTATGTTTTTATATTTTTAAGGGTACCAAATGGAATTTAAATAAGGATATAGAATTAAAAAAAAATAAAGATAATGTTTGATGTTTTGATGGTCAAAGCAACAATTTTTATTTTTAGCCAAAGGGGCACTTTACCCAGAAGGACTATTAGTTTCGTTTTGGCATTTTGTGTCGTCACTATAAAATGTCATTTCACTTTTCAAATTGTTGCCACCAAATATTAGAGCCCTGCATTATATTTAAAGAAATTAAATAATGAAGAATTAGCATAAATGCATGCATGTTTCTCGCATTGTGAAAAAACAATGGTACCTAGAGATATCAGATTTTAAATAACATAGTCCTCCACACGATTCTGGGCATCTAGGAGCCCAAATTCGGAATGTTTTATCTATTAATATTTTGTAAGGATGAATAGATAAAACAAAGTGTGCAAATAATCAATATATATATATGTTTAATTGATAAAACATCTCCAGCGCGCCAGACTTTGTATCGGGAATTCTAAAGATATGCTCTTTTTAAATGTTTTGTGATATTGCTGTTGAATTGAATTTTATGGTTTAAGTGTGCAGAACTTGATATTTAATAAACAAAGGTAACACACAAAATGTTAAAAAACCGCCAATTTGGGCATAATATGAAATCGGAAAGCTTTTAAGTTTTTTTAAAAATTTTTATTTTTATGTTTTATGCATTTTCATAATTGCTACAGAGACTCTGGATGAGAGAAGCTCATGCTATTAATTACTTTACGTTACAGCAGTTGTATGTAAATTTTTTTGTTTTCGTTTTCTAAATATTTATGTTTAAATTTAATATATATTTCATTTCCTAAATATTTATTTATAATTGCAAATATTATATATATATATGTTTATATACACATGTACAAGCTTCATACATTTAGGGTGTTTTTAAATTATTACAGCAAATCTCAAGGGGTTTAGTACTGACTGAAAGAAAGACATCACTGTTTTCAGGGCAATGCTTCTGGTAGCATGTCTCAAAACTCTCCTCGGAGCGATTCAAAATCTGAAGACTCGTATTGATAGAACATGAATTCTGAAATAAACACTTTTCATCATAGAATGTATGGTCTTAAAGTGCAGCAGCTACATGCTAGATAACACAGTTAATTGGATGTATAGTTTAAGGAAAGTTTAGTAACGACTGCACTGGATTGATACATATTTAAGGAGAAAGCAGGACATATGTGTTTTGCGTACAGTCTGGTTGACAGTAATGGCAGGCATGTGCAAAGGTTGTATATAGAGCACTTCCCCAACAGGTGCATTTCTGAGTATGGGATGTTTGTGCAACTTGCACCGTTTGTACAACTGTTGGAAAGGGGAAATTTTCCAAGCTGACATGCACAACACAGAAATATTCAATTGCCAGATATGTCAGGAGAGATGGCAGGATAACAGCCTGTCATTAGTACTAGAGATATAGACCATCACATAGCTGTGTCGCATATCATCATATGACAAGTTTTTATGCCCTTAATGTTTACATTCATATCACGTGCACTGCATACAAAAGTTTCGGCTCGGAGATAATACTATGCATGTTGAATTAGCATGTTGGTTCCTGCAGCAAAGTAGAGCAGACCTAGAATTTCCAGTACATGTATTATTCATGGATGAGGAAACATTCTGTGTGTATGTTTCAGCCATTTGTCACACATTCTGTGTGCTTAATCTGTCTTGTCTTGATTTTTTAAATTGGAGGGAAAATTTTCTGATATATAAAACTCTAACTAAATCCAATGAGGATATTGTTACCAAGCTTTCAGTAGCTACTGAAAAAGTCAACAGTGTGCCTGGTGTTTTGCAAATGAAATAAGAATTTGCCTCATTGATGCAAGATCTACATAAAGAGTGATGATCACCATTATGAACAGCTTTTGTAAATGAACTTCATTTAGACATTTACTGTTGTTTGTACATATGATCACATTTGTATTTTTTGTTTATTGTTATTCTGTAGTTTATGCAGTTCTGATTGTATAATTTGACATGTAAAGCAATTGTTAATGTTTGTCTTCAGTAAATGCTTGTTTCATTCCTAGGTAAGTGGATTCACAATGTAATTAATTTCATAATTAATTAGACACTACACTCTTTTGTTCCACTACACTTATGATTAAATACTCTATTGAGAAAAATGTTAATTTTTGTTATCCCTTAATATTTGTTGTATTAGTATCAGAGTACCCTGTTCTTATATATACACATGTATACAGTCTAGTTATATACACTCATGCATACAGTGATTATAAATAAAGTGTACACTTCAGTATAGTTTGAAATAAGAAACACTCAACAAGATGTCTTGAAATTTTATGTGAATACTCATGAAGCAAAATATTTTTACTTCCTTGTACGAAGTAAAAAGGAAGTATTGTAATCGCGAAAAGTTTCAGACAGCATATTTCAACGAAAATATCAATTTTGACCGCTATCAAATGCAATTTAACGATGATTTTGCATGATATCTGTACATAAGGACAGAATAAAAGACTCGTTTCCCCCATAAAAATTATAAAATTAATTCTGAAGAGAATTTTTTGTGGCGTCTGTACGAACGTATGTACTGTACGTGCGTACGTACGTATCTCGCATAACTCAAAAACGAGTAGCCTCAGAACTTTGAAATTTTGTATATAGGACTGCTATAACATGTAGATGTGCACCTCGTATTTTGGTTGCAATCGGCCGCACCAAACGTATATAAATATATTTATATTAAACGTATATATCCACTCTGTTACCCGGCTCGGTGATCTCAGTTTCTTTACTCTTATATGTTTGTAAATTGTACATTTTTTGCTTTAAAAATGATTGAATTATGTTGTTTTTATCTTCCGGTTAAGGATTTTATGCCTTTAGTAAATCTGTGTAATATTTCTAGAATTATCAGCAATTTTGAAGTTGTTCAATTGCCGCTAATCCTTTTTTCTGATGGCGGTTATTGATTGTTTACATTTTAAAAAGCAGACCAATGGATTTGTTACCAATCTAGAGAAACTTAGCTTCACAACAACAAAGATAACGCCTTCATTGATGTTTGCAATTAAATCATGCTTAAACCTTTCTGGAATGTTTTCGAGAAAATAAGTGTTTAAGATTTACTTCGTAAATTTAATATATATATTTTTGAGTTTTTATGTATTTTTGTTTTGTCGCGAAGTGAGAACTGAATTAATTAAATGAGAAATCCTCAATCATCTGTGAAAAACTGTTTCTTTTTTGTTTTGTGTGCTTAATTTCTTTTATACATCATTCTAGCTTTATTATAGTATTTGAATAGAACGTGTGGCAACGATTAGATAATTCTCTTCTTCAAATGATATAAATTTTGTACATTATGAGTTATAATATGAACGAAATATATACGTTAACTGTTATATAATTATTGGATTATATAACACTTAACTTAGTTTCCATTATATAATTATTATATAAGTTAACTGTTATATAATTATTAATACTATTAAGTGAATCTAGCGCCAGAGTGTCGCTATGGTAAACAAATACTAGAGTGAATTTTAAAGAATGCATTTATTCTATTGTAGTTTATGCGCTGTTGGCGAAGTAGATTTATTTCAATCCAATAAGTTTAAATGAAATGCAAGAAAAAATGTGTATAATTTAATATTCCAATACAAGGAAGTCATGTGGTGTACACATCAGATATTTTAAATTAAGCAAGAAAGAAACCTTAGATTGATTTTTTAAGATTTTGAGAGCAATCAGACATAGGTTCCTTTTCTTTAGAAGAAAAAATAAAATAAATATTCTGCCTTGAAGATTGGAATTTATGTCTGATTACCCACGAGAGTACTAGAGTGTTATTAAAATCTGTGCCAAACTAAGGTTATTTTTTTTGCCAGTTTTACATTGGCTTGTTTTCTAATTCAGTAAATTTTGTTTGGTGAAGGGAAAAAGTATTATAAAATTTCCACTTTCCACTAGATAAAATGTAATTGGCACTTTATCTAGTTATCCCTTTATCTAGTTGTAACAAAAATTTCCACCAGAAAAACGTTCTTAATAAGTTAGGGGGTAAAAAAACATGAAAGCAGTACCATTAGTACGGGTAATAATCACCCCCTGAAATCACGATTTTCTGCCAATGTTTTGGTAGTTTTTCAAAGCTTTGAGCCCAGAAACTTGGTGGCCGCAAGTCTAAAAACAGATCAACCTCATTTCAGACGTCCTGTGCACATGATTTTGTGACATTATGTAGCTGACTTTTCTCAACAGAACTGGAAGTAAGTAATGTTTCTAATCTGCTAGCCTGATAGTTCCATTTCAGATACTTAATGATAACAAAATTTTTTTACATATTTCACAGCACAGTGTTCTAAAGCAAGTCTCTTTCTTCCAAATGTCAAAAATCGTTTGACAAAATATGATTAAACATACCAACACGAACTATTTGTGCAGATGATGTTTGTGGTTAAATTTGTTTGTGCTTTCATTAAAACCTGATATTATTGTGGAAAGGAATATAAAACAACAAGTATTCATTAGTAAAATAAGAAATATTCAGTATGCTGACCTTTCTTTTCTGATAGAAGTTAAATTTGAAAAATGGCAACTTACACAATAGAGCTGACGATTTCTGTAGATAAACTGTGGATTTATGATTTTAGTACATCTATGCTAAAATTGCTCTACTGACCCTAAACTATAGTTATTTTATTTGTTAAATATTTCTATTTATGAATATTATTTAGAATAATAATAAATCAGAATATAGAGTCACTTATACTTATTTTTCATTTATGTGACATTATTGTGTGTTTAATTATTATTATTTTGTATTTATTATTTTCACATATGTATTATTTTTCAACATAAACAAGATACACGTGTATTTATGATTTACCATATGAAATGTCAGAAGAGTAAAAAGTTATTCAATAAGAAGAAAGTAACAAAATAGAAAGTTGCATTTCAGTTTCTA